CGAATTCTCAAAATGGTATTATACGTATGTATATATAATATGTATATATATATATATATACTTCTTCTCCTTCGTACTTCCGTTGCTTCTTTCATTTATCTCTTCTTTCTTAACGATTCTTCGATTCGTTTATTTACAACAACGTATATGCGTATCAACGAGTATTAACCATTTTCTTCTTCTCTCTCAGCCAGAGTTTCATTCGCTTCGAATCTTCCGCGTCTTTCCTCTTTTTTTGTTTTTTTTTTTCTTCTTTTAATTCGTCGACGTAAAGTCACGAAGATGACGTTCCTCCAAGTTAAACGATAAAACTTCAGACGACGATCCTGATGTCTCTCCTCGTTTCGGCCACTTCTCTAAAATGATTACCCATCTACCCCGCCTTCTTCTTCTTCTTCTCGAATCTCTTCCTTCGAAACCGTGAAAATCACATGATCGATGAAAATTGGATTACATGCTAGATTACAGGATAAGAGATAATTCTCTCTCTTTTTCTTCCTTCCTTCTCGTCGAACCGTTTCCATTTTGCGAGAAACAATTGTACACGGTTGTTAGCAGTGATCGATATACGAACGGTATATCTTCTTTCGATAACAACGTCGGACAATCGAACGTTCGAAACGTTCTCACACCTTCTTCTTCACACTGTCTCGTCTTTTACCGACTTATTCTTAGCAGCTTCTTCTCCTTCTGCCAATCACAGAAACGGGATAAAGATATAATAATAATATTTTTTTCTTCATTTTTCTAGGTTTTTACGAACAGCAAAGATTCTCCCGAAAGGAGCACCGAAGTCACAGGGTGGTGATAATTTCTCTCTTTATCATTTAATTCAACGATCAGAGAGTTTCAAGCTGCCTGTGGATTCGCTGCTGAGAGAACAGAATTGACGACGAATGGCAGTGGTTCTCTGTGTTTCCGTGTTCATGTATAAACGTGTCGTCGTGTGAACGACCAATATGCGTGTAATGTGTCTTTCTCTCTGTGTGAGTGTTTGTTTGCGTGTATATAAGCGTGTGACGAAGGATCACACAATTATTGTTACATCCGCGACGATAACGATGCTCTGATATATATCTATATATACGGATCGCGGATGGGTTTTGTGAAGAGAAAATTGATCGTCGATTTCCTCCAACACGTGTTCCCTCTTCTCTCTCATGATACAACATCTACCACGTCGAAGGAATGTACACTCTATAGCACGGTAACAGAGTCGTGACACGATGAAGGTAATAAGTAGAACGCGTAGACTGATGGTCGCCGGTTAAAACAGTCGGGCACGTCTTTTGATTTCGTTACGACGCCATTGTGGTAGTCTGTAGAATTCGGCGCGGCTGAACTGAAGAACTGCCTCGAATTCCGCGTCGGATAGATGCCGCTGGAAAAGACAATTCACGGAAACGTGAGGGTTAAAGCTTGAAACACTTCGTCGTATCTGGAGAGAGGAAAAGAGGTTGGCCATTTTTGATGCAATTAGGGTGTGGATCTTCTTGGTTACTGGATAACTGCTTTGTCAAATTTTAAGGCTGCTTTTCATGCGATGTGTGCGAGGATTTAACTTTATTGGTTAAAATAATGGTTGAAAAGTTTGACGAAATGTTCACTGACACATCTGCGGAGAGGAAAAGGAGTTGGCCATTTTCGCGCAGTTAGGCCTGGATCTTATTAGTTACCGGGTAGTAACTGCTGCTTTTATGTGCGATGTGTGCGAGGATTCGACTTTATCAACGCGTAGGTAAAAAGGTAACACGCTGGTTAAAAGGCTCGATGGAACGTTCATTGACATCTGGAGAGGAGACAAGGAGTTGGCTCTGAGTCTGGATCAATTCTGGATCTTCTCGGTTACTGGCCAACTGCTGTATCAAATTTTAAGCCGCTTCCAGCGCGATGCATGAGAAGGTTCAATTTTATCAAAGCCTTCGGTGTATCAGGTTTCTAATAAAGATGTCTGCTGTATTCTTATTCCTACATCCCTCTTTTTTCAACTTTTGCAGAAACATCGGCAATACTATTGGCAAATTTGAATAAAACTTCTGCGTATGATAGTTGAAAGAAGAATACGAGAAAATCTCCTTAAAATCGAGGGTTGCAGGGCGTTACACACGATCGCAAACCTCTCCGTGAAAGCAAACTATAATACACGAGGGCACCTGTCTATCGTATTGAAAGCGGCCTAATTCCACGCGGGATATCTCGACACGGGTGGCTATCGTTATTACTCTCGATTTACTCACTTCGAGGTTGCAACGATCCACGTCAGCGGGCAGCCTGTAGTTAGTGATGACAAGTAAGTGGTAAGGATAGAGTTTCGGCGGTTCGGACGGCGCTGTTCCCATGTCTGGCAACGATCTTCTTACATGATGGCCCACGTGACTTCCGACTCCCGAACCTAGGCCACCTGTATACGTGGTGGATGATGGCAGCATACCACCATCATTCTAAAGCACCGTTCAATCGTTAATCTCCCCGCGAAACTCTCTCTCACTCTGATTCTGACGTGTGATGAGCGTTAAATAGCGGTGCAGCTGTTGAGAAGCTTCTCGCATCGTTTCTTTTCATAGACAATTTTATCGTCAATTATCGTTAACGAAGAGAAAAAACAAGAAAAACAAACAGAAGGAAGGAAGGAAATATTTATCACTTTTAATAAATTCCGTGAATTTCTCGTAAATGGCTGAGAGCTCTGTTTGAAAGAACAAAAAAGAAGAAAGAAATTCGATAACTGCGAGAATTTCTCAGCCAGCAATGGATCTTCCAACCCGTTGCAATAATATCTTTGCAGCGATAAAAATAATCGGCGAAACACCGCGCTCGTTAAATGACTGGTTACGCAAACAGGTTGGATCGTCAATCCTGTTCACGCAGTGTTCGAACATGAGACAGAACTATAGCTAGACTGAAACGAGAGTTGATAGGAACTGGCATTTCACGGATAATCAGTCGTGTGCTTTATTTTTCACTCATTTCGCAAATTTCGCGAGATTTTACACGCACAGGTGGAATCGACACTTGCCAACGTTTTCTCTATCTTTCCTCCGAATCGATTCTGAACGTAAAGGGAAAAGCAATCGTGAGAAACACGTCACGCACATTCTCATGCACGGTTAATCTTCAGTTCAAGCGTATAGTTCCGTTTTCCCCGTCTCGTATGCACGGTTTTATGCAACGGACGTGCAGCGACGATGCAGGGTGATTGAAAGTTCGCGAGAAACCGCAGGTATTTTCACGTTTCGACCAATTTCATTTTCTCCGAAGCTCGTGTGAACGCTTTTGAAACAATCTCATATGTATAATCACTCACATCGTGTTATTAGGTAAACGGGGGAATGAAAGAAAAAGTGAATATGTATGTCGAAGCTGGTTTCGAAAATAAGAACAAGCTCTGATTCAGCCTTCGACGTATCTAAAACAACCTCTCGATCTTCTCCTCGCAAAGGGTGGTCAAGTATGCAAACCTCAAATATGCCAAGGCAAGAGAGAAACAAAGAGAAAACTGCGCAAAGAAGATGCAAAAAAAAAAAGAGATATCGATAGAAAATAAAAAAAAAAAAATAAAAAGATAAACATAATATCGCAGCAAATGTACAGCAAGTGCATGCGCAATTCAATGTACAAATTCTGTATGTACACGCGTTGTTATTATACACGTATGAACAAATCGAAATAGCTGTTACAGATAGTATGTACAAAATATCTGATCGATTTGGAACGACTTTTCTACGGAAGAAAAGAGACTCGAGCCGCGTTCTAAAGTGTCTAACTTCACGCAGAGACAACGCGTCGACAGACGGTTTCGAATAAATCGGCGATACGATGCTGTTAATAGAGATAATTCAAAAATGCAAAATAAACAAGCTACAAACCATGCTAATTCGCCGGGAGTAGTATGGGGCTGTAGTACATACCAATGCCCGTCGATCCACATCCGTGATGCTGCCTGTCGATACTAAAATTGGGGAAAAAAAAATGGGAAAGAAAACCATGTCAAACCATGTTGCACAAACCATTTCGATTATGTTAAGTACAATCTTTTCTAACAACGATCGGGAACGATCGTATTCCGTCACGAATGGGAATTCCGCGAGATAGAGAGAAAAAAAGGACAACGATCTAGCGCGAGAGATCATTTTTCCACGTGACGTAAAAATTCGTCACGTCCTGACTAATTAATCTAACGATCGGGAATACGATTGATTCGATCGAATTACTATGTAAGCGAATGTTCGATGATTATATTATACATATGACCTGAATTCACTTTCTAAGCTACACGATATTATGTACCAGCTGTCAATGATCAGAGTTATCGTATATAATAAAGTGACGTTACTGGTGGGTAAAACGAGGTATATATGTATATATACATATGTATACATATATATATATATACTGTGTCACTTGGGCTCACACTAGAAACTCCGCTCTGGTTAATGGATCCAAACAAGTCTTTATTATGCAATCGTTCATCTAACACGGAATCGTAACCGTCGAATCTCGTGATATACTCAGGCGTGATAATTGTAAACCAAGATAGACAAAAGAGGGAGGAGAGAAAAAAAGATATATTAAAAAAGAAATAGAGAAAAAGAAGTAGACGGAGAAGAAGAATAAAAGAAGTGACAGTTCGTATTTTGTGTGTGTGTGTGTTTTATCAAGAGCCATGGATGCATTAGTATTTTAAGCATGCTTCAGGTAGAGTAAGCGGTATAATAATCGATTATTTCAAAAAATGTATAAATATATATATATATGTAAACGTAAAAGTAAAATCGTCCTCACGAGCCATTCTGCTCGTGAATCCGAGAAATAAGAAATGGAAAAGAAAAAGTTAATAGCAATTTTTAAAAAAAACAGAATAAGAAGCATGTACAAAAAGAATAAGCATGTACAAATTGAAAAAAAAAAAAAAAAATAGTTCTAGTGTACTGTACGAGAGAGACTTGCAAGATAACCGTGTACGTATGCGTATGTACGTGTGTGTGTGTTTGGTTTCCTTTCTGGGTTTTACTCACTATCTGATTTGCCAGATGAGAAATCAGTGCTGTGCGTCTTGTCGCCCATCCCACTGAACGAATAATCACCCTAGACGACAGAAAAGCGTAAATCTTAGACACGACCGTGGCAATGCTAGTTAAATTACACATCTATCGATCGTTTTACAAAAGAAAAACAAGTGTTACAATCAAATTTATTCTCTACAGAATTTCTTTTTCCAATTACGTTTCTTTTCTTATCTTTCATTTGCTTTTTTCTTAGGTAAACAAAAAATAAAATTGTAGTATCAGCAACAACGGTGCAACAAGTAGATTTCTCTTTTTCTTTTTTTTTTTTCGTTGCTGTTGTTGTTGTTTTTCGTCGATTGTGACGCGGTGCAAGACTTACAGGGAGAGCAGATACAGAACCGCCGGTCGAGGAGAAGGTGTGACTTCGCGGTGCCAGACCGTACCCTGGCTTCGGGATGTGCCGAAGGGAGCTCACAACTGGTTTCAAATCAGTCAATCGACAGTATTACTGATTAGTGTCAACGGGAAACAGTGGAATCGTTCATTCCCATACGAATGCCCAACGTTCGCCAAGAAATACGTTTCGTTACGAGAATAAAAAAAGTTAAAAAGAAAGGAAGTCTCTTTTTCTTTCTGTGTAGAATAGAGATAATCGCGGAGGTGGTTTTTCTATTCTTTTCCTTTTGCATACGGTTCCGTTTGTGTATCGGGTTCATCGAGGGAGTTCTATGCTACCGTTTTTCTTTTCTTTTTCTTTTCATTTTGACGATTTTCTTTTCACGGAGGAAAAAAGAAGATCGTGAAAAAAAAAAAGATTGTATTGTCGTGCAAGGGTAGGTTCGATTTAATTAAAGCCCGGTCGATCTGTTTCTATCGCATCCCCACGGCAAGAAAGGGTGGAACGTAACCGATTTTTGTTCAATATAGTGCACAAAGCGTTATTTCTCTTGTTCAAACTGTGCAATGGTAGAAATA